GGAGAGTGGTCCAACAGAAGTTGTAGAGAGTGGTCCAATAGAAGCTGTGTTCTTCGAATCTAGCCGGTTAACAACTACACTCAAGACAGCCGCAGTGAGAGCAATTGTTGTAATCGTAAACAAAATAAGCATTCCGAACAGAATATATATCCATTTAGTAATCTGGAGAAATGGTGATCCATTTATGTCTGATACTTTGTTCATCTTAACTAAGAATCTGGAAGGTAGAGTTATACTGAAATGAATCAAACCGATAAATCCATCGATATGACAACTAAAAAGAATGTTTTATTTCAAAAATGATAAAAAATATTTTTTTTTATTATCCTGCATCGGATACTGAAGTATACTCTTATTGTTGAAGAAAAACAATTAACGTAAATGTCATTTATAGTGTTTAGCAGTGATTATTATCCTAGGTGGAGATATATCTCTTCTCTTCGCTAATGACAAAACAAATCTTTTATACTATAAATTCATAATCAGAATTAACGTCATTTGTTTATAAAGAGTGACCGAGGAGTCCTTACTCGATTTAAATAATAAATTTTTCTTTGATAAAATACGTGGTTGAAAATTTGTCTCTATAAAGAAAAGATGCAGTAAAACACGTTCTACAAAAATGGCTTTTAATTGACCCCGTTCCATCATGTAGTAAGAACGTTATAATCTTAGAAAGATGCTTCACAAAAAGCAAAATTAACCTCGAAGCTTTCAGAACATACAAGGAAACTAGAGGAGTCAATACAACTTGAGCACTTGGTTCACTTTCAAAATCACTTTAAAATCAATGTATAATTAATGTGAGATGTCAAAAATGTTTACTCTAGAGGAATAATTTTGTGGACTCGTGCTTTCTTTGAACGAAATGAGTCCGAAACCAGCATTGATAATGAATTACAGTTTTATGAAAATCTTCTTCCATTATGTCGCGATGCATTCAGAAGAAAAATAACCGTAATACTACCAAGGAGGACAGTAGAAAATAGATCAGGATGTGTTGCATCAAGAAATGTTAGAATGGATCAATTCAAAAAAACAGGAGTACAAAGAGTAATACACTTGGAAAAGGACAAAGTCAGAGAACGATTCATTATCAATGCTGATTTTAGATTCATTTTCTTCAAAGAAATCACGAGTTCACGAAACTACTCCTCTAGAATAAACATTTTTGACGTCTAACATTAATTATATATTGTCTTTAAAGTGATTCTGAAAGTGAACTAAGTGCTTGAGCTGCGTTGAATCCACTATTTTTCTTGTATGTTCTGAAAGCTTCGCGGTTAATTTTTGTTTTTTGTGAAGCATCTTTCTAAATCTATAACTTATTTATTACATGAGATAGCGGCGTGAATCAAAAGCCATTTTGTAAAGCGTGTTTTATTGCCTCTTTTCCTGATAGAGACAAATTTTCAACTACGTATTTTGTTAAAGAAAAATTTATTATTTAAATCGATTAATGACTTCTTGGACACTCTTCATATATCTTTAAAGATGCCATTATGACAACTTTGCGTTACAATGGAACAAGTCTAAATGTATTTTATAACGTCGTTTGATGATTAATGTATGCTGTTGTGAAGCAATTCAACTTTTATTGTTTCTCGTCAAGAATAAAAATCTATTATTGATAAAAATGATTAGAATTCGATTGAAACAGCACTCAACATCTTCAGAAGCATAATTTATGGTTTTCAAAATGAAATGTTCTTTTTTTTCCTTATTATCAATAAAAATTTTATAGATAGTTGATAAAAACTTTGTTTTTAGTGTAGAATCAAGGACAACTAGGAGAACCTTGTCTTTGCGGGTGGATGGATGGATGAGGGTGAATTGAAGAAGAGATACTCACCCTCACCCAATCTCTGATAGCAAAAACCTAATCATTGTCGAAAGTTCAGTAGTTAACAAAAAGTGTCTTATCTATGGTCCAGTTGCATAAACATCACTAACTAGTGACTTTGCAACAAGAATCAGACTTTCGACAACGGGCAAAAGTCAACATTGCGAATTTCTGATTCCCAGAAAATTCATTCAATTTAAATTAGAATGTCTTAAAACTCTTATGTAAATATCTTAACGACAAGAATTTATTTGATAGGTAAAATTGCTTAAACGTTGAGTTGGATTTTGTTATGTGAATTTGTATCTGTTGAGTAAATAATTTGAATGCTAAGTAAAATTATCAGATGTTAAGCTAATTTAGTTTTTCTAGGGAGTAAAAAAAAATTTGCTAAGTTCGATAATTAATATACAAATAAAATAGTTTTCACTAAGTTAATAAATTAAAACTTTAGTTATGAAATACATTCGACAAGAAAAAAATTACTTTTGATATGTAATTTGTAATTAAGGCTAAATAAAATTATATAAGATAAGGATTTTGTTACTAATGGCATGATATCTACAGTTTCTCTCTCGCTTTTCTTCTGCTAGCGTTAACGTAACATTGTCACATTGTATATGCCACCTATATATTCTTTCATTTTGATATCTTGCGTGAATATGTCAGCGTCCTTTGCGAAAATATTTAGCTACAATTTATTAAGGATCCGTTCAAGTATGTGAAAACATCACATAATGTCTTTTCCCTATAAACTGCAACATGTCATTAGTTGGTTTTTTTCCTTTTCTTTTGTGGTATATGTCGAACACACATCGATCGTTCCTTACCTGTCATAATATGCGAGAGATTTTTCTTGAGGGTGAGAGTGAATGGGTGGGGAAGAGAGAACCTTCACCCATCTATGATCCAGCAGAGTGGGAAAAACGGAATATGCAATTGTCTAAATGTTATAGGCATGTTTGCCACATACCCTCACATCACGTCAGCTATTCGTTTCTGGTTTCTCTATTCGTTCTTCGTTTTTCTCTCTTGTCTTTTCTTCATGTTATCGTCTTCGGTATGTTTTCAGTTAGTTAGATTTTGATCACAGAAAGGAATCGAATAAAAGGGACCTCTGATATTTGGCGCCGTGACCCGTTTCTATTGCATTGAACGTTCGTCCAGTGGAATTCGTCGTTATCATCTCTCTCTTCATTCGTCTTCGCCAATCGTTTTCTCGTTCTTTGTCTATTCTTATCAATCGTTCTGGGGTGTGTGGGTGTGGGGTGTGGGTGCTAATTCAAAACCAAATCACACTCACATCCCACACCCACAAGAAAGCTCATCACTAGTTGAAGCAGTGATTAGAGCAAGAAGAAGCAATGCGAAAGATTTCATTCGATTGAGGGTGTGGATATGAGTATGGGTGTGGGTATGGGTGCGGGTGGCCGGAGTGTGGGTGTGGGTGTAAGTATTGTTTTATTCTTCAGCGACACACCCACACTCACACTCTTCATATACTTTTCTGTTTGTAAGAACCGAACAAATAGCCGTTTTGACAGTGGTACACGATTTCTGAGAAACCTGTACGGTTGATCAATTTTGTCCTTGAAAACAGTATCTAACAAATTAAAACATCATAAATAACAACAACTACAGAAGTTAATTAATATGATTTGGCTTTAGGTACAGAAAAATTCATTTTGAAAATAATTCAATATCAATGATTGAAGACATAATTTGCTAGATCCTAATATTTAGCACTATCACTCACAATTGTTGCAATCTATGGTTTCACAGAACATAAAAGCTTGGTGAAAAGCAATTTTCTAATGCAACATGAGCTGCTCGAGAAAACGACATAAATAGCTTTTCAAATGAAGTGTAGTCTTGTTATATCGACATGACACCTTACAGACAATTATTCAATCTTACTCCAGAAAGAAAATTTGACCATAGATATTCGAAACTTTTCACACTATAGACTGGAATAATTCTAAGAAGAATCAAGAGTGTGTGGGTGTGGGCGAGTATGAGTGATAAAACACAGTATTACAATCATACCAATACCCACATACGACCAAAAATTCGTCTATGGTCCCCATCAGGCCTGTTTTTCTTAAAATTTGTTCCTGACCTCCTAGGGGTCGATTTTTGGTCGAAAAAAAATTTATTAAAACATACATGATTCTCTGCAATTTTGGATGCTGATTCCGAATATGCTATCTATTTCACTTTTTTGCTGAACCATGATAATAAAAACCGCTAAATACGAGCACATTTTTCATGCTTTTATCCGATTTTCCCATCAAATGAGTAAAAAAGCTCAATTTTCTTAGCAATAAAACAAAATAGGTACTTTTGTAGCCCATGTTTTGAAAATTCTAATGAGATAAGACATTTTCTTCTATCTGTTGTTACAAAAAACTAGATAGATTTACAAGATGAGTCACAAATACGTACTTTTGAGCAGGTTGAGATATCTATATTGGATAAGATTTTCTAAACGTTTTATAGCTTTAAATCTAATTGAATTATATTTATTACTCAGTTTTTCACGCTGATTCAGAATATGATATTTTAAAAAACGTTTAACGAAGTAGATGTGGTTCAAATTTAACAATTTCTGTAAAAGAAGCACGATATAGCTGCTCTATAAAATATTTGTGGTCATTCCAATTTTTTTTGATATTTTTCTCAGCCAAATAGCGGTCGAATTGAAATAAAACATATATTCGTGATCAGCTTTTCACGCTCCGTCAACCCATATCTAGATGAACGAAAAACAAAAATCACAGAAATTTTACATTTCTCCGCCCTTACATCACTCGTTATGGGTACAGATGTTATTGTAATTATTATACGTGTAAGTCCTGGCATGAATAAGCAACATCTCTAGAATCATCAATGAAAAGAGCGCCAGTAGCATAGAGAAATCTTCGAAATAGACAAGAAACAATAAAATTAGGAGATGTATTCGAACAACAGAGAGTGTGGACGGGTATGTTCCGTTTTCTAACACACACACATCCAATCCACAGTCATATCCAAGAATCCAATGGAAGTTAGCTAGGAGTTGATTTTTCATATCATTAGAATAAATAGAAGATCAGAAGATAATAATAACGCGATGGTGCTTGGATTAATGCAAAAAACAAGAACAGAATTCTCTCTTTTAAATCAAATCGGCAATGTCCATGGGCAATTCTTCGATTCGTGTATTACAATATTGTTCAATATGATGTAGTATTTGTCGTTCATCATTGGTAATGAAATTGATAGTCGCACCTTTTCGACCGAATCTGCCACGACGTCCAATACTTAACCAAAAGAACAATTTTCATTTGTTTTCGACCTTATTGATTCTTACCGATGAATATAGCTCTCAGGATTAGTCGGTAGATCATAATTGATAATAGGACTAACTTGTGGAATATCAGTATCAGCTTCAAGCATATCTGTTCTTACCAAGATTCGACTGGAACCCGTTCGAAATTCTTTTATGACATCATTACGTTGTTGTGCATCCATATCAAGATGCTGCAATAAAAAGAAAATTAATTTATATCTCAATGTATGACTTTACAAATAGTTATTTCAAAATTATCATGGTGAAACTGACCAGAGCAGACACAGTTAAAGTACGTGCACGTAGTTTTTCAGTTAACCAATCGATTTTTTGACGTGTGTTACAAAAGATGACAGTTTGGGTGATCGTTAATGTATCAAACAAGTCAAATAATGTATCTAGTTTACACTCCTGAATAAAAATAATTATACATCAGTTCACCATCATAGAATGAGAAGTATGTCTATCTACTTCACGTTCGACATTCACATAAAATTGACGAACACCTTCGAGCATTCGTTCTTCTATCTTAAAAAAAACTTTCACAGGATCATTCATAAATTTAGCTGTAATTTCGAGTAAATCGAAAGCCATTGTAGTCGATGCAACAATGACCTGAACATTTCCTGACAGCATCGTAAATATATCATAGATTTGGTCTTTAAAACCACGAGATAAAAGCTCATCAACTTCATCCAATACGAACATTTTGATATTTTCACTACCTACGATGTGAATGAGAATAAAAATACGACACATATAAGACATAAATCACGTACGAAGTACTGATCTCTTTAACATATCATAGATTCGACCAGGTGTACCAACAACAATTTGAACACCTGCTTCAAGCTGTTTCATATCCTCACGAAGATTCGTACCACCAATACAAGCATGACATGTCACATTCATATGCTCACCTAATGTTAAAACTACTCTATGGATCTAAATTACAAATAGAATCAAGAAGCTGATAAGAAAAAAAGATTATATGCTATAGAGAAAACTATACCTTTTGAGACAATTCACGCGTTGGTACTAGAATTAATGCTTGGCAATCTTTGCACTCCATGTTGAGTCGTTGTAAAACTGCAATAATGAAGGTTATCGTTTTGCCCGTGCCTGATTGTGCTTGCACAATCACATCGTAACCTTCAAGAAGAATGAATATTTATTGAACAAATTTCAGTTCTAGAAAAATGACAGAAAACGAACCCGAAATGCACGGTTCGAGAGCACGTTGTTGAACATCCGTAGGACGTTCAAGACCATAACCATAGATACCACGTAAAACTAATTCGTGTAAGTTCATCTGATCGAAGTGCTCAACCACTTCTGTCAAGTGACTTCGGGTAATTTCGTCTCGCGGCAAAGATAGTTCAATCTCATTATGTTTCTGCGAAAGGACATCTGTGCTCGTATTCTGGTGAGTGTCATTCCTAAAAATAAATATTAACGATTCAGCATGTGATTCTTTTCAAAACCAACCTGCTCTTGAGGTGGCTATAATGTCTTAGTAATTATTAGATGCATCTTAGAAATATTCATCGAAGACTTAAGAATCTATACAAGATTTAGACATATACCTTTGATCAAGCAAGAGTTATAGATATCTTACTGGAAATTGAAAGCCGATTTTTCTAGCATTTTCTCTCCACCAAAAATCGTTTTTTTATTCTTTTTCTCTGTTCTGAAAAAAAATTATTTATCCACTTCTTTTCTTAGGAAATTCTCAAACATAGCACACAAATACTCGTATGTCAGTAGTGTTCTTTGTTTTAAAGTTCATGCAAGAAACAATACGTACTCTAAAGGAGATGTGGTTTTGCAGTCATTTGCTTTGGTTTTCGTTTCACTATTGCTCATCAATGAAGATAAAAAAAGGTAATGTATTTCAAACCCAATTGATCTACAAAGAATCAAGAATATAATTATTCGACAACCAATCAAAAATACATCATTTATATTCCATTTAACACACGTTGACTAAGAAAAATTCAATCAATATCGTATATGAAACAGCTGCGGTTTGAAAAAGAAAAGGCAGACTATAGAAGACGAATGCATATAGATGACTGTAATTTCGAAATTTCTCAATGAATAAAGATGAGTCAGCTAATATGAAGGTCCTTCAGAAACGAAACAACCAATCGTTTCAACAGATCAAAATAAAAACTGATTGAACTTTTACATAATAATACTGGAATAGTTTTCAAAGCTTTGATAATTGTAACAAGACAAATACAGCCTCCGATCTCATATTATCCTATGCTGCTTAGTCTATCTTTTGCCATCGAGCGCTACAATCTATCGCAATGAAATATCTAATAGTGTGCTCGAATTATGTCTTCATTGTCAATCATATCATGATAGTGTGGTTTGCTAAGTGAGTGTACATGTCGATATGGCATAATTATCATGCCCACTCACATCCATCCTCACTCTCAAAATGAAAAAGCGAAGAAAATCACTCAGATGAATAAACTTCAATCGATTAGATTTGCAAAAGAAATTGATCAATTTAATGAGAAATGAACACAACTCGATCAACAATTTCCAATGAATATCTCGACAATGAAGAAAATCTGTTTGTTTTTCATTTATCTTTCTAATCAAGTAAATTGGATAAATTTTCTTAATACATCACAATATTGTTGAGAACAAGAAAAACTGATTGAAGAATAAGTTTCGCTTTGTATTGTCGTTGTAAAGATATTCAATCAGATTTAAGTCAAGTTTATTCAGACAATATAAAAATGCTTCTAAAGAATCTTGTTCTCACTGTAATCAATACAATTTTTGGAATGTTTCACAAAAAACAACCCGAGTCAATCTTGAATTGTTTCTTTTAAACGAAAAGATAATTGAAAATGATGAATAGTGACAAAAGTTTCTTTGATAATCGTCTTTATTATGATAGAGATCAAATAATAGGAATTAGATTTTCTTTTGATATGTTGACACAAATTTGTTCAATTTGAAACATTTCGTTCACCATTTGTTGTTCAATCTTCAAAATGAACTGATAGTCGTTATAGTACTTGAATTTGAACTATTTAGAAGTATTCTGAAATAAATCAATTACAAAGAATCAAACTTGAACAAACGAAAAATAACGAAGAACTTTTCAATAAAGTTAGATATTTCTCCAAATAAATAAGACGATTTTACTTAAATTTATGCGATCGATACGAATATCAGATGAAAATGTTGATGAACTGAAAAAAATTCCTTTGTTTATTTGTAGTGTGAACATATTTTAGGCGAAAAAATTCTTTGAGCTAAATAATCAAAAAATGAATTCTCAGAATAAATCAATAAACATCTTTGTTCTTATTCATTCATTTATCTATCAAAATTAGATTAACAAAAACCTTTTTAATGAGTTTTTAATAAAACTCATTTAATCATATCGAATTTTATCGATATCAATTCAGTTAAAGACAAAGTGCTGAAAAAACATCGATTTAAGATCTTATTGTCTTTATTTGTGACAATTTTCATCTGATTAATACGAAGAATTTCTTCAAATATGCAAAAGAAAAATTTTTTAATCAATATTCTTTCTTCAAGAAAATTCTAATCTTTCTGATATTCTTTTCAATGAAAAATGTTTTGAAAAAAACAACAACAAAGATAAAATTTGTTCAATGAGAAAATTTTTACTTTTATCGGATTGAATAATCTTCTATTCTAACAAAAAGTCTATTCATCATTAAATTGAAGTTCTACCTTAATCGATTGATCTTATCAGGTCAATTCAAAAAAAACTTTTATTTTATTTGTTTTTAAATTCTGAAGACGTTTTATTTGATTTCAAAAAAGGTGTTGGTGTGCTTTGGGTGTTGCTATGTCTGTGGATGTGGATATTCTTCCCTTATATACCTACTCAACACCCACACCCATCTATAAGATGGCCAACTTCTTTTAGATACTAGAAGTAATCACGTAGAAACTCAGTTTTTTTAAATACAGTGTTCTTAAGATCATTGTTTATTTGAGAGTTTTTATATGGTTAGAGACATGCTGCTTGCATGCCTTCACATTCCTTCTCTCAATTCATCTTTGCTTTCGATCTCAGCATTCTTTTGTTTTTATCAGTCAAATTGTTTGTGATTTGAAGAGACGAAGGGATTCGTGTTCGATGGCACAAGAAAAGAATTGAATTAAGGAATCTCTAATAGATTTAAAATAAATAAATAATATTGTTACGGTAGATATCCAATTGATTGCACTATGATTTGTCTATGATGAGAGAACCGATTCAATAAACTGTTTCTCAAGGTCGAAAAAGATAGTGAATTAGGAAGTTTCTGAAAATTCTCAGCCGATTGATGGAGTAACTCAAGTAGAGTCTGTGCCATTTCTACATCACATCTCTATTCACATGTATTTTAAAGCAGGTTCTAAGGGAAGATATTTAGATTTAAAAAGAATTGGGACATGAGAAGAGCAAAGCGTACTGCGGCAAACATAGTCGCAAATCTTGCTCGAGAATGTTGTAATAGAACGAATCTCACTTGCCATTTTCCCATAACAATAGAGTTACTCGTCAACATATACGCATCTACTAGCAGAAATTCGATCTCTGATAAAAAGAAACTCTGGTCCCCATGTAAGCAGAGAACGGGTGTGGATGTAGGTGTGAGTGTGGGATGTGGGTGGGTATGAGTACTTTACCCGCACCCACACCCACACTCACACCCATACCCACCCCACGCACACCCCGTTTATCACCTGAACGTTCCACTGGTAAACAACCTTGAATTGGTGTTACACAATTAAATTTATCGTTCTTGTTGATTGAACAATCTTCCATAGTGTTATTAATAAGAAGATAATGATGTTCATTATTGTTGCATTGATAAGAATATAATATGTAAGAACAACTGAGTTCATCAGTACCGTTTGGACAATTCCATATTCGATCATTACAATGTGCATAGTGCGTATGACATAGGCAATATTCACAATTTGTTTCATCAGCTTTGTTTGGATTATCAATGTCAATTGGGGACATTTCTGTGAAGCGATTAGAAACTTTTGAAAACATAATTCCTTTGTGCTTATCATATTTCGTATGTAAAATACCACCATTTGCAACCAATTCATCTTCACAAGACTAATTATAATATTAATTTTATTTAAAATTTCATTGCATTAGATTAACTAGATTGTCATGAACTTTTTTTATTATCAGAAATGAGGTATATGAACTGAAGTTATCAAATGAAATAAAATTTACAGAAAAATAATTTGACATTTGATTGTTTGTTGTATATTACGTAATATCGTCTGAATTTCCAGTACTTTCTTTATGAACAATCGTTCGTCTTGAGATGTATTTCCTAACACTTGCAATATTATTTTCTTCAATTGGGAACATCTATCTACAACACGTTTCCATTGATCATCATCAAAAAAAATATTCAATATTATATTTATTACTAATGATATGAATATGGTGAATGTTCGGCATTTTTTTCATAAAATCAGCTATTGGCATAAAAAACCATGATTTGTAATGTTAAAGATGACTGTTTGTCGATGTCGAAGAATAATGATCAACATCAAGTAAAAAATATTTAATCCTAGTTGTTACCATTTGCCGTTTTTTTAATTGGTCAATATCATCATCATCAATACAAAATATTTCGGGACAATGAATTTCAAATCGTCTGATTTGTTGCCGAGCTTGAATTAATACTTCATTGAATATAAAATAATTAACTTTATCGTCATAATAGAGAGAAAGACGGGTCAAGTTTGGAAAACATTTTATATATTCACTAATTTGATCAGAATATGGTGAATTATGAAGTGTTATTGAAATGACTTTGTTAATATTAGACAAGAAGGCTAATTCGGTCTCTAACCACAATTGACTTGTATTGAATTCTAATGAAACAATCTGTTCAGATTTGATTTTTCGAAAAATGATTTTAATAAATGGATCATAAGGATTAGGTAATTGAAATTTTGATTGAAAATTATTTAATAAAGAAAGAATATCAATAGAAAATGCCGAAATTGCATCATTCAACGAAAGATATTGACTTATTTCAAAAATAATTTCCCAACAAAGACCAGTCTTTTTAACGAAACTAAATGACTAAACGAATACTTTTCATATAAAAAATAAACATGAAAAAAAAAACACTCACTAAGTCTTGTTCATTTTTATCATATTCTTCTTTGAAAATATCCAATTCATTCAATAGATTTTCACGATTAACTGTCATTTGAGTACGTGTCAAACTATTACCTATAATTAATGATTTAAATTGATATTCAGATGTTACGATACCATCTATTTTGTGTTCAAATAGTCTCATAACTCCAATAAGTAAAGGACATTGTCCAATGGAAAAATTATCAAAGAATTGAGTAGAAAATATTTCTTCCCAAATTTTTGTTAATCTGAATAAAAAAAAAATCAATTTTAGTAATCAAATTGTTATATGATTTACGTATATCTATTCGATTCAGAAGTAATTTCGTATGGCCAAACAACAAAATTTACATTTAAATAATCGATAATCGTGCTTGAATAAAATATAGTCTCACAAAATTTTTTCCTAAATTGATTGTCGTTATGATATATGTAAACAAGTACTGGACGACGCTGAAATATGAAAGATTGGAGTATTTTATGTAAGGAGAAAAACTATCTGGATGAACTTCTTGAATTACAGTTGGACCGAAAGCTGCTTGACATGCATCTTTAAGAGAGCCCATGAAAAACATAAGATAATTATTGTAACGTTGTTCAAAACATTTGGATAATGAATCAATATGTTGAACATCATTTTCATTCATAGAAGGAGGGTGTGGGTGTGTGGGTTTTGTTCTATTCTTCAGCAACACATCCACATTCACGCCCACACCGACACCCTTTTCAACCATGATAAGCACAACATGCTTTTGAAGTGTTTTAAGTAAATTTATAGCTTTTTTAAACAGGTGATTTTTATTGATATCTCGGCGGATGTAATATATCCATCTGAAAACGAAAAAAAAAAACTTCTCTTGTACATTTTCATATGCGTTCATTTGGTTCATTCTACGTAATTGTTCATCTGTGGCATATTACTCAAAAGATTCTTTTCATATTAGTTTAGTTATGGAGGAATAAGTCTTGATTTTCAATGCTGCAACATATTTTGCGTTTGTCTCACAATAGGGTTTTTGATTTTGACGTATCTGGACATCTCAGATTTTACTGCTATTTTAAACGCTAGACATCTGAGATTGGTATCAAAATGAAGGTAAAAAGTAGCTCTACAACTTTATAGAGTCGTATTTTTCGATTTCACCATTAATGTTTATTAAAAACTAACCGCTCTGGATGCACATCCGCTGAGTTTTCTGTTTTTTATTAGAGGCGTTCTCTAGAAACACGGGCTAAGAGAAAACCGAAAAACCGAGAACTGTTAAGTTGTAGCTTCACATCTTAGCTCCATTTTAGAAACAACCTGAATTTTCTAGAATTTGATATGACGGAGAGATTTGGGACGCATGGAAGCCTAATTTTTAATCCCTAATCATATGATAACTCTTCGTAGAGTCAATATATCTAGGTGAAATTTTTACTGTGAGGTGCTTAACTCAGTATACACTTTCACTGAGAATTTCATCAGGATTGGATGCTCGAAACAAAAATTTTTTTGAAGGGTTCACTTAATGTCATAATTTATGAAATACCTCGGTGTACTATTGCGTGTTCAGGTAGAATTTCTGCATGATCATACTCAAATCCTTTTTTGTCTAAATATAATCTTTTTTATTAAGGCAAAAGATATCTCTAACCGGAGGAATTTCGTTAAAGAGTATAATAAAAGAACGAAATTTTACTATATAATGGAAAAGGTTATTTAACGGTCAACTTCATTAAAATCAAGACGCTCAAGGGCAGTCTATTGATAATCGAATTAAAAATCGAGAAAAGAGTAAAAGAATGATATGTTTTCTAAATAAATGAATTGAGGAACTTTGATATGAACATGATAAGATCTTGGTTTTCTATCTCAAGTCAGATAGGCAGACATTTCACTCTAAATAATGTTCGTAATCATACTATGATTAATCAATAGTTAAATAGCTAGATCTTAGTACCTCTATATCAGTACATGTCGAACCCAATGAAACTACAAAACCTTTACAGAAAAATTTAAAATGATGAATAAGCGTTCATATTATTCTTTAAGACGCAAATCAAGTCACATCTTTTCCTTGTTTCTCCGTAACAGGTTTACTGTCATTTCTATGTCTCATCTTTTCCATTCGACAGAAATACCGAAAACTAAGTATTTTCTTAAAACTAAAAACAAAATAGTTTTACATCAAGCTATTTATGTATCGAAATAATCTTCACTAACATCAATTGGAAGATCAATATTTAACTTTATCGTAAGCATCATATAGTTGTTCTTTCAAATATCTCACTGAATATCTGACCATGTGTTATCACACCGGAAAAGTCAATATTAATATTTCTTAAACTGACATAAAATCAGTACTAACTGTTCATTGATTCCAAGAACAGTTGACTGTCAATAAGTCATTCGTTATATCTATGTGAGAAGCATATTCTTCGAATCTTTTATGTACATCTTCCGTAGAAGAATCGTACGATTTTAGTTCACACGTTGGTAAAAAGTTTCCTTATGTTTAATTTAATCTCGTTGAACATGTTGAAAACATAACATTCGAAATGAATATTGGGTGTGAAGTTTAGATGGGTGTGCGTATCGGTGTGGGTATTCACCACACGCTTCCTTATCTACAACCTGATCCTCACCCTAAAATAGCCATACATCCTGTGTTACTATTAGCTGGCTAGATGTACTACGATACAAATGAACTCATTTTTGCATAGATCCAGTAGCTACAAGTCCTTCATATACAATAAATGAGGTACATAAATCACCTATAACATAATTATTATTTACAAGTAACGCTTGTTGTTGCCATTCGCTTGATCCTGGACGAAATGCCCAACTGTTTCTACATAAAACACTGCTAGACCAGCCCAATCGATACTAACGGCAAATGTATGCATGAGAGTGGATATGGGTGTTAATGACATTGTGGGTGCTAAGGTGCATGCCAGTGTCACTGACGGTGAGGATTTGCGTGTGTGTCCGTGTGGTTCTTCTCTGCACCTAACTCACACCCTTACGTACATCTACACTAATGAGCGCACTCATCCTCCCAAAAAAAGACACGCACAGCCATACGTACGCGCATACCAACAGTCGTACTCCTACAACAAGGAGCTCTTAAATACCGTGACCGCATTCACAGTACACCCACACCCTTATGAAATTTGACTAAATTGCAGAGACAAATCCACCACCACAGAAAGAGTTGAATTCAAAAATTTCAATAAATGATCTATAGATTCGGATCCTTCGCCTCCGACAACACTCAGTGAAGTTTTATAAAAAAATTGTTGTTTTCTTGGAATAACCTTTTCTTTAGCAAAAAAATTGATTTGAAATAGAATGGCTCTCATCTCTAGTTATAACACTAATTATCTGTTTTTTTTCTCCAAAACTGTATAAGCACCATCACTAAATTCCAGTATCAAAAGGTGCTGAGTTGTTGGAGATTTCAAACTCGTACTGTTCCCTTAAAGTTAAATGTACGATGCTCTATCGTACCGAAACGTTAGATAGTCTTAGGTCAACTATTGCATTGCACCTTTTTCTATACACACAAAAACTGATTGATAGTGTTCTTCTTGTTTTCTTGTTCCGTTTCGTTTCGTCATCAATCGTTTTTATTCTGTAATCTCAACTTCAACCTAAAGCAAAATGAGGGTGAAGGTCAGGATGTACGAGTGAGGGCGATGAAGATTGTTACTTTCATACTCTATTATTTTCGACATTTGCATGATTTTCATTTTCGACATTTTTATTTCAATCAAAGTGTAGACAATCTTTTATTCGGTTGGTAGCGTTTTACAGTATAGAGAACAGTATTGATTTCATTTTCACGCTTCATATAACGAAATTTTTCATCCTTTCCAAAGTATCTCTGATAGTGATGATCTTATCATATTACGTGAGCGACCGAAGAAGAAAAGGTTGAAGAGAACTATGAAATCATATATATCTACCTAGACTTGCGTTTTAATTGGATCAAAACAATAACGATGCTCAACGATTCGGAAGCAAACACCTTGTATATTCCTTTTCATCAAAGGTAAGTTGAATGTGAGTTGATGAGAAAAATCAAAATGAGAAAATGAATAACAGAGATTTCGAAGCGGATACTAATAGGGTTGTTCATCCAATAGTTATATTTCGAGTGCAGCTATTTCGTCTCTCATCATTGTAGTCGGTCATTTCGATCGAAGAAATGTTATACATCGCGATTGCTTGGCATTATTATCGTTCTGTTACTGATTTTCATAATCGTATTGCTCGTTTTATACGACATTGAGCTAAACAAGATAAAAAATCAACGAACAATGACGACAGGTACGTGCGAATGAATTCTATGAAGATAAAATAACTGATATATAATCTCTGATTGAATAATAGCGTCAGTCAATGACACTAGTGATTTATGTTTAACTCCATATTGCATCAAAGCAGGTCAGTATATTTTGTCACATCAGAGGAGATTTTTTTATCTTTTTTAGCAAACTATCTGCTCGAAAGTATTAATGAGACAATCGATCCATGCGAAAACTTTTATGAGTTCGCCTGTGGAACATGGATTAAGAAGGCGCGAATACCACCTGATAGTAAGCTCTAGATAATCAAATGAATAATATATTCTATCATTTTCAGATGGTATGGAACGTTCTCTTTCAGGAATGTCGACAAAGTTAGAGAACGCACTTGTCGGTACAGTAAATGATTCCAATGTTTTATTTATTTTCTCGTTTTTCGAAGATCTGCTTTCATCATCACCACTGAATGGAACAATAGAGCCTAAAGCAATTACTAATGCTCATCGCTTGTATACTTCTTGTATCAACGAAAGTGCTATCGAAGCGGAGGGTGTCGATGTAATACTCTCCTTCATCAATACAGAGCTCGGTGGATGGCCTATCTTGCAAGGTTCGACATGGAACGAATCAACATTTGATTTAGCTCGTCTAATGCTCAAATTAAGCCAGCACAATAATTTCATATTGTACACGGTGAAGACAGCTATCGACGAACAGAATTCGTCGATTCGAAGCATTCGAGTGAGACTCAAGAGTTAGAATTGTTGATGATGAATATTCATCTTTCAGATCGGTTCAACTAATCTTGCAGAAAATTTGATCCACTATACCAAAGGAGCAGAAGTAACAAAAGCTTATTTGCAATTCTTTAATAACTTCACTTTAGCATTGACCAATGACACATCAAAAATCGATGACGATATTTTGGCTGTCGTCAAGTTTGAAATAGAAATTTTAAAAGTAAATCTCTTTTTTCATACGTACTTTGTGTTTCACTTCTTTCAAACAGTACTGTATAAACGTAGACGAACAATCTATCAGCAATACCATCCGCACAACAGTCGGTAATCTTTCGCGTGCAGCCAACATTAGTGTGAGTGTTAACTTTTTCATAGTCTCTAACATTTTCTCTTCATGTTTCTATTCAGTCTGATTTTACCAATTATCTTCGTCGTCTGTATCTGTTCGGAAATGTGTCTCTCATTGATACAGACATTGTAACTGTGTCTGCACCTAAAATTTTGCGCGATATTTCGTCAATTGTTGATCAACA